GTCGAACTTGAACAAGCTCGATTTCACCACTCTGGAAGTATCTAGAAGAAACTACCTGAAGTGGGTTCAAGACGTGAAGCTCCATCTTACTGTAAAGGGTATTAGAGCCACCATCGAAGCACCTATCGACGACAAACCTGTCGACGAAGGTCAGAAAGCTACTGCAATGATCTTCATTTGAAGACACATCCATGATGCTCTATAGACCGAGTACCTTGCTGAGGAGGACCCACGCACCCTTTGGTTTGCTCTGACCAGAAAGACATCTACTTACCTGAAGTAAGACACGACTGGCAGCATCTTCGCTTCCAGGACTTTAAGTTCGTGAATGAATACAACTCTGAAGTTTGTAGAATCCGATCACTACTGAAGTTCTGTAAAGTGAAACTAACCGAATCAGATCTCCTAGAGAAGACATATTTGACCTTCCATGCCACCAATATTGTCCTGTAACAACAATATAGGGCACAGAAGTTCACCAAATTTTTGGATTTTTTTCTGTTTTACTTCTCGCTGAAAAGCAGAATCAGCTTTTGATGAAGAATCATTAAGCTCGACCGACGGGATCGGACTTCGTGCCTGAAGTGCATGCGACCAATTCTAGCAGCCACAAATGATGCAAAAATCGTCATGGCCAAGGCAATTGGCGGCAAGCCCTACCACGGGCCCAAGGTCAACAGAATCAAGGCCCACCCAAAGGAGGAAATTTGACCCATAAGCACCAACCCATTGCCCATAAGGTTCCAAACTTTAAGAACAAGGGAAAAGCTATCGTTCAATCAACTTCCATTGAAATGGACATGTGCTACCGCTGTGGATCAAGGGATCATTGGTCACATGTCTGCCACGCGACCCTCGAGGCTATTGTCAAGTATCATTCCCGTCGTGAGTCTAACTTTGCACATGTGGATCATTCGAAAGATGCTACTACATCCATGAAGATATCAGATTTTCAGGAGGTATTAGCTCCTATGGACAAATAAATTTTAGACATGTTTTAAGGTGTTTTACCCCTGGTGGCCGAGCCCACTAGAAGTGGTCGAACCCTCTATTTTTTCGGTTTATGGTTTAATTTTGGACAATTTTTCTAAGTATACATAAAAGCTTGTATCATGTTGTCCAATGGTACCGTCTTAACCATTAAAGAGGCCCTCTATTCTCCACGCTCTGAAAGAACGTTGCTGAGTTTTAGAGATATTCGAGATAATCAATATCATATTGAAACCACTGAAGATAATGATTCTGAATATCTTTGTATCACTTCATACGAATATGGCCAGAAGTGTATTCACAAGAAGTTGAAACATTTCCCGAGTTTGTTGCACATCAAAACCATTTATGGCATAGAAGCCACCATATGGTCGGCTCTATGCCTGAGTTCCAGAACACTTTGCTACTTTGGCATGACCGTAGGAACATCCCAAATGTGATATGATACATTGTATCCTCAAATCATCACATGGGCATCATTTACATCCCTACGTTGGATTCCCGCCATGCAAAGCTTGTTCTTTAGGGAAGTTGAATACTCAACCCTCGATTACTAAGATTATTCACAACCCTACTAAGTTTCTTCAGATGATTTAGGGGGATATTTTTGGACCTATCGAACCAACATGTGGACCATTTAGATACTTTATGGTGTTGGTTAATGCATCAACACGATGGTCACATGTTTGCCTGTTGTCCACATGCAACGCTACATTTGTGAAACTCCTAGCACAAATTATTAAGTTAAGGGCTCACCATCCTGATTATCCAATCAAGAGGATTCGACTGGATAACGCTGAAGAGTTTACGTCATAGACTTTTGACGATTATTGCATGTCACAGGGATTAAAATGGAACATCATGTACCCCATGTTCACACCTAAAACGGCCTGGTAAAAGCTTTCATAAAGCACCTTCAATTGATAGCTCGAACTTTGGCTATGTGAACCAAACGGCCGGTATCTGCCTAGGGCTATGCAATATTGCACACAACTATATTGGTTCGCCTGAGGCCTACCGCTACCCAACCTAATTCACCTTACAATTTGTTACTGGATACGAGCCTGACGTCTCGCATTTACATGTGTTTGGGTACGCAGTTGATGTGCTAATAGCGCCGTCACTACGTACCAAAATGGGTTTTCAAAGAAAAATAGAAATCTATGTCGGTTATGATTCGCCATCAATTGTTCGTTATTTAGAACCTCTGACATGAGATCTCTTTACCACACATTTTGCGGATTATCACTTTGTTAAAACAGTCTTTTCATCGTTAGAGGGAGAAGCATGCTAACGTTCTTAGAGAAAGTTGCGAAGTGTCGTGGTATGCTCCCACTATGTCTCATTTAGATCCCCGCAATGCCCAGTCTGAAATTAAGTTGCGACAAATTATAGATCTTCAGTGTATTGCTCAGAGCATGCTAGATGCTTTTAATGATCTATCAAAGGTGATAAGATCACATATACCCACCGTAAACGCACCTACAAGGATGTACCCTGCGTAGTTCACAATCATGCCTGGGAAGGCCAGGCCGTCCCCAAAAGTGGGGAGGCAGCACCTTCCACACGGACTGGTACATTGGCGGCTAGCCAATCATCTGCTCTGACCTTGAAGCATGGCAGACCCCCTAGTTCAAAAGATTCACAACCCCGAAAGACGAAATCGGCACTAACTAGTGCCCCTCGTTTGAATCTAACCGTCACTCACTCATATGTTCCAACGTATAAGGTTATTTTAGATTACGGTGATGTCTTAGATGAAACAAACCGACCTTCCGAGAATCGCAAGATTTCGGTCCACTATGCAATATTAGATAAAGTTTGAAACGGAATGAGATGATCGTCAACGATGCATTTGCATACATAGTATCTACTGACATCATGCTTAGCGATGACATTGAACCACGTTCTATTTATGAATGTTGACGTGTAACGGATTTGTCAAACTGGAAACAAGTAATCCAGGTCAAACTCGATTCGCTTGCGCAACATAAAGTTTTTGGACCTATAGTTCCTACACCACCACATGTGAAGCTCGTTGGCTACAAGTGGGTTTTCGTGATGAATCGTAATGAGAAGAATGAAATAGTGCGATATAAAGCATGCCTCGTAGCGCAAGGCTTCTCTCGCCCTAGGATTGATTACGAGGAGACTTATTCCCCTATAATGGACGTTATAACGTCCGCTACCTAATCAGTTTGGTAGTTTCTGAAAAACTAAATATGCAACTTATGGACATGGTAACCGTGTATCTCTATGAGGATCTAGATATGGAAATCTACATGAAAGTTCCCAAAGGACTTCCATTGATTAGTTTAAATAGTTCTAGGCCACGGAACACTCTCTCTATTAGATTGAGGAGATCACTCTACGGATTGAAAAAATCCGGGCGAATGTGGTATAACCATCTAAGTGAATATTTAACAAGTCAGGGTTATGTGAACAACGAATTATGCCTATACATATTCATAAAGAAGTCACATTCCGAATTTGCGATCATTGCAGTTTATGTCGACGACATGAACCTCACAAAACTTCCGAAAAGCTTGAGGAAACTGCTGCACACTTGAAATTGGAATTTGAGATGAAAGATCTTGGGAAAACTCAATATTGCCTCGGCTTGAAGATCGAGCATTGTTCGGATGGAATCTTAGTACATCAATCAAACTACAACCAAAAGGTGATGCGACATTTTAATGAGGATAAAGCGAAGCCTTCGAGTACTCCTATGGTCGTTCGAACTCTAGATGCTAAACGAGATCCCTTCTATCCAAATAAAGATGAGGAAAATATTTTGGAACCCGAAGTTCCATAACTAAGTGCAATTGGGGCTTGTACTTGGTTCAATGCACTAGACCCGACATCTCCTTCACTGTTAATCTTTTGGCTAGATACAACAATGCGCCCACATGCAAGCACTGGAATGGTATTAAAGACATTTTTCGCTACCTCAAGGGTACGACGAATTTGGGCTTGTTCTATACTCACGAATCTTCGAATGTTGTCGCCCCCATCGGTTCTCGGATTGATTCCCGCCTTGTTGGTTACGCTGATGTTGGATATCTGCCTAACCCACATAGGGCACGTTCTCAAACGAGTTATGTCTTTACCGTTGGAGACACCACTATATCTTGGAGGCTACCAAGCAAACGCTAATTGCGACTTCTTCAAACCATGCTGAGATTCTCGCCCTACATGAAGCATCGCTTGAGTGCTTTTGGTTTATAGTAGTTATGGAACATATTCGAAACACTAGTGGTCTTACTTTCGTCGTTGACCTTCCTACGATGATCTTTGAAGACAATGCAACATGTATTGAGCAGTTAAAGAAGGGATACATCAAGGATGAGTGTTGCAGTCATATTTGAAATAGGAATGTGATTGTGTAAATCCTGGTGTCTCTAAGGATATCTTTTATATTCCTTTTAGTAGTCTAATTCCTATTAGAGTTGTAGTTCTAAAAGGGTAAAGATTTTACCTATCCTACTACTATAAATAAAGGCACAATGGGGGTGATACAACACACTCCTCACAATTAAATCTCTTTCTTCTCTCTCTCTCTCACTACCGCCGGCCTCCCTCTCTCTATTCCCTTAGAATAGCTCAGTTAAATAGGCCTACAACAATAAATTCTAATTTTCCATTCACCTTAAAAACATGAATTTGTAGATTCATCTTATTAACATGTGAAACTAGCATTCATCTTATTAACATGTGTCAAGTGATGAGTGAGAAAAGTAAATAGGAGAAAAAAATGGAAGAGATAGCTAGCGTTCATCTTATTAACATGTGAGACCACGGAATCCTTTTAATTAAGGCTTTATACTCAAATTTATAAGAATTGGATTTTTTTCAGCAATATATTTTTAATTTAGTATGTCTAAATAGTATTGATGAGAAACCTTAATAAGAAATCAAAATCTATCATTAGTAATCCTGCAACTTCATGATATTATTATTATTGGGATAGTTTATTTGGATGTTTTACTATACGAATATAGGCAGTACAGTCAGGCAAGTTGGTCGGTGATAACATCTCCAATACTACTGTATAAGTCGACAACATGGTTTCTAGTAGATATTTTAGATACTTTCACCCCTTCAGAACTCAAGGCAGTTTCACAGTAACCTGCATCATCGCCTGCAATTTTGACATCATAGTTGGCCGTCAACGGATCCTCATCTATCTCTGTTTTGGCGCTATTGAATGAACCAACCACACCTTCGTAAAAATAAGAACACAGCTTAATTGGCTTCCTGGGATCACTCTTGAGCAACTTGTTTATGAAGTTTTGGCTATCTTTTGCATTCGCTATAGCTAACTCAAGAGCTACTATAGCAAGCTCCTTGTAATTCGATGCTGAACAAGATCGAGGATCGGAGTCGAAAGCTTTTAGGCATTCAGAGTTACTGATGGTCTTTTTGCAAACAGTTTCAACCAGTTGAGTTGATGCATTCATAGGTGAAGGTGAAGAGAGAAACAAGAACAAAGAGGTAAAAAAGAATGGTAACACACAGTGAATTGGGGACTCCATTGGATGCATTTAGTGAGTATCTTGGCGGATATGATTGTGCTCTTTCCTCTATATAGTAGTGAGTAGTAATGGGATACTACTAAATTTATTGAATACTCACGTAAAAAGAATTCAGATTCACAAAACTAATAACTAAATTTGGAAATACTTAAAATTAATAACAACGTATATAATGTTTACCAAAAAGAGTGAATTTGGAACATATTTCTTATTCTCAGAACCCTGAACATTATAAAGGGCGTCTAGTGCTTTTGTTCGAAATACGTCGAAGGTTAGTAAGTGTATTTAGAAGGCATTTTTATGACTCATAAATACTAATTTTTAGAGAAACTAATAAAAAAGATTCAATACTTTGATTTTTAACCAAAAGCATTCAAATAACTTTATTTAATAGTTAGAACGAAAAGAACAAATGACACATTCCACACATCACACATTACACGCCACACACACTAACACCCGAGCCTCTTTCACGTGGTCTGTAAATTTTGTCTCTTTCCCTCTCTTTCACTTGTCACTGTCATATTTTTTCTGTTTTCCCCTACAGATTCTTTCCTTTTATTGCTCTTTCACATCTCTCTCTCCTGTTTCTAGGGGTGGGCACGGTTTGGTTTGGTGCGGTTTTGAGTGAAACCGAAAATTTTTGTGGTTTGATTCGGTGCAGTTTTGAAGCCAAAACCGAAATGAAATCAAACCGTTTGGTTCAGTTCGGTACGATTTCAAACGGTTTCGGTTTGGTTTTTAAGAAAAAAATATTACAATTTGCAATTTAGCATATTAATAAGCATTTCCCAGTAGCTATAGGAAAAAAACATTTGTTATGTAAACAATTAGCATGTTGAATGCAATTGTGATGTTAAAACATGTTTGTGTAACAAAAGGGTATCCCATACAAGGTATAACATAAAACAAGTTGAATAACTTTGAATTCATTTAACGTGAGTGAAACTTTCATACTAGAATATGTGATATCATGCTTATTTGTGAAACTTTCATACTAGAATATGTGATATCATGCTTCAAATAAGCTCTCTCTCTCTCTCTCTCTCTCTCTCTCTCTCTCTCTCTCTCTCTCTCTCTCTCTCTCTCTCTCTCTCTCTCTCTCTCTCTCTCTCTCTCTCTCTCTCTCTCTCTCTCTCTCTTCTTTTTATTTATAAGAAAATAAAACACTAGATAGAGTGACCGCTATCATAACCCAATTCCAATACAATCGAACAAGAAAGCTTTTCTTGTCACAAAAGCAAGGTCCTACCCAAACATGGAAGTTATCAAAACTAAAACTAGTACTAGTAATTGTATCAGCCAAAAAGTTAGTCTGCCTATAAACATGGTTCAATGAAATGGCTTCAAACGTAGTTGCCAACCACTTGATATCTTGAATTTTGTTCCTTAGACGCCAAGGGGTGAAGCATAATTAGTTACTAATTTTCAACAAATATTTAGAATTATTGACTATTTTTTAGTAAATATTTTAAGAATAGTGATTGTTGGCCAAAGATCGCCCTTTGTTTTAAAAATAGTGATTTTTTCTCAACAAATATTATAAAAATAGTGATTCTTTTTCAATAAATGTTTTTAAATTAAAATTTTTCAATAAATATTCTAAAATAGTGATTATTTCTCAATTAATATATTAAAAATAGTGATTGTTTTTAATTAGTTTTTTTTTATATTGATTGTTTATAAGGAAAACTAATGAAAATGGCTTGAAAACTATGAGTTTTAATGATAAGGACAAAATAAAGGGTAAAGTGAATAGTACCATGTTTGACTTTTTAGTGTAAAAATGTGGTTTTTCGTTAAAGTGAACAGTGCCGTGAGCTTTTCGTTAAAACTCCCTTGTTTATATTGTAAATAAATAATCCATACAATGAAGATAAAAAAAACCAAGAAATAAAAACTAAACAATGTATTGTTTATGTATTTAGCATGTAAATGAAGGGAGAGCGACATGAGAGAGAGAGAGAGAGAGAGAGAGAGAGAGAGAGAGAGAGTGGAGTCGGTGAGAGGAGAAAAAGAGAGATAGTGGGAACGGGTGGGTGGAGTGAAGATAGAGAGAGTAGAGTCGGTGAGAGGAGAAAGAGAGAGATAGTGGGAATGGGTGGGTGGAGAGAAGATAGATTTTTTAATATGATTGGTATACGGGATGATACATCATGTGTTATTAAATAAATTATGAGATATTTGTACTAAAAAGTTAATAACTTAAAAAATAAAATTTCTCATCATTCCTATGAAAACACGTGGTGTACCACTTGTGTTGTCGTTACAACTAAAAATTTCTTAGACGAGAGAGAGGAGAGAAGAGACAGAGAGTTAACTGACGCGTGTGGCCTGCATGCGTCAGCTGTCATGGGATTGGACCACGTGCTATGAGCGCATATGTTTTCCGGGCTTTTTTAATTTTTATTTGTTTTTTGTCCTATTTGTTAAATAATGCTTTTTTAGTGTTTTTGGTTAAGAAAAATTTTGCAAAAGCCTTTCCAACTAAAGCTCTTTCTTTTATTTCATTTGTAGTTCGGAACTCATAAGCATTTTTTTGTTGTCAAAAATCGTTTTTTTTTTAACCCTTTTTTATTTATTAAAAGGGGGCATTGCAAATTCATATCAGGAAGAACTCGACCTCAAAAGGATCCTTACAAATTAGATCTAAAAATATGATAATAAAGCATCATTAATTGCAGAGCAATGAGTAGAATTCAAACACTTATTGAAATCCAAGCTCATCAGGAGTCACAAGATTACACAAATCAATAAAACTACTAAACATCATATTACACGGACATCATGTGAAAATAAAAATCTCAAACCATATTGGGACATGGAGTACAATGCCCATGAGTCTAATTGCATAACCTAACCACGCCACGATCTCATAACATTATGTGAAATAGATCCAACAAATCAAACAGTTCCACCCCCACAAAGATCCAAAAGAGATGTAGAACATCAAAACAAAAATTAAAATGAAGCAACTCTCTATATAGAGAAAAAACAAACTAGCAAACTCTCCCAAAGAGAGAAAAAATTCAAACTCCAAAACCATTTTTGAAAATTATTAAACAAGTACAAAATAAAAAACCATGTCATCGCTCCACATCCTCCGGATCGGCTAAATCTATAGTGTCATACATGCTAAACTTGACCCCGACATCTTCCATGGCTTCCAACTTCAATCACATATCGAAGGTTTTAACTAGATCCAAAATCTTGTGTTTATTATGTGCGTGGGTAAAAAAAAACGATTACAATATTTCACGGCGACAATTCTATACTAAAACAAAGTAAACAGAAAGGGAAAGGGGAAGAGATCAATAAAAATTGTTGCCGACCCCAAAAAACCAAAGGCAGAGACCGACGGCAGAGAATTTTTCATTGATTTTTGCTATAGACAGCTATGCCTTTTACTCTAGGAATACAAAGCGTTTTTCACACTTTAGCATGCCAAAAATATCCCATTGGTAGTCTCAACACAACACATTTAGGACTTGAAAAATGCTTGTCTCCATGGAGTTGCGCCTTCATCTGTCGATGCAAATAGTGCGCTAAATAAAGCTAACAGCCTCACAATTAATAATAATAACAACGCAAGATTTTCGATTCTGTAAAATGGAGCACCTTCAAAAACTTTTACAACTTATTATGCAAGGAAACTTCAATTAAAATAGGACTTGATATGGTTTGACATGTTAATTCCGTAAGTTGGAGCACTTTTCGGGCTTAACAAATACTAGCCTCTCCGCATGCACTAACGTGCGTGCGAGAGGCATTTTTGCATCACGGGCGTTATGCGTCCCTAATTTTTTTCTATTGTAATTATCAAGATATATTTTAAATGTATTGTGCAAAGAGTTTCTTTACCATGCAAGTCCTAAAAAGTTGTCATTTTTTTCGTTTTCACTTTGCGTAAGAGAGAGGCTTTTACCTGTTATTGATAAGTGCCCCCTAAGATATGTACTCTCTCATACACAGCAGTGTCTTTACCTGTCTTCTCTAACATTACCTTCGCAAGCATGTTATATTAACTTCTTTTCTTTAATATTACCTTCGCAAGCATGTTCCTAACCCTTCGAGACTATGGATCTTGAAATGCATCGAAGTTTCAAATAATGAGAAGATATGTGACATTTACTAACATTTAATAAACAGTATTGTATATATTTACCATGACCATAGTACAACACAAACTTACACCTTAATCCATGTGATAAGGAGTAGTATTTTACAATATAAAGATATCAATCTCATTGTTTATTTGAACCATCTCTCCATAATTGTTTCCTGTACAAATTTGTGGATGATCCTGCAATTGAAAAACCCAAATGTGAAGTAAAAACAACCAAGAGAAAACAGAAGCTAAAAGAAATCACACTAAAAAAATTAATTGAAATTAAGCAATCACTGTGCATTTGATCGACCCTAAGGTGACATACAAATGCCAATTGCCAAAAAATTTAAGGAACCATTTTGAAATGGAGTAATTAGGTTTTCATCCTTATTTTTACTACTCTATTGATTAAAACCTTATTACTTTTCAATTTTTGATCAAGGTCCTTTGTATTAATAATATCATTAATTATTTCAATAATAAAATATTTTTTATTTCTAAATATATTCATTTAATATTAAAAATGTTACAATTAGTATATTTATATTTATGGCTAAATTTTTTATCATATATTTTTATTTTTAGTTTGTACCCATTTTTAATTTGCAACCCTTTTTTAATTTGTACCAATTTTCCTTTCAGTTTTAACTTGTACCCATATATTAATTTCTTTTTGTGCCCATATTTTTTAAAGTTTTATTTGTATTGTACCCATATTTTTTTTATTTATTTGTACCCATTTTTATTTTTGCTAAATGTACCCATGTTTTGATACAATAATTTTTTGGTTATTTTTTATGAATGTACCCATGTTTACACACACACACACACAATAGTATATTTATATTTTAATATTTTTAATCCCACAAATTATGGTTTTTTATTTAAAATCTCATTACTATAAACAACTATAAATTTTAATTTTTAATTTAAAAAATATAGTAACGTACATAGAAATAAATTATCAATTAATTTCAGGGACTTGGATCAAAAATTGAAAACCAACAAGGTTTCAGTCAAAGACTGTTCATAACTAGGGACCGCATCCAAAGTCTCCCTTTTGAAATTAAGCAAACATTGTTCTAATAAGAAAAAAAACCTCAAATGTACAGTATAATTGAAATTAACTCCATTTGGAGGGAATTAAAGAATGCCAAAACCACAATAACTTCATATTACATTAAACATTTTGACTAATATGTTATAAGCACAACCAACTCATCCATATTAAGAACCCAACAGAAACATAAACCAAATGATGCAATCTGCCAATTAATTGTTCCGTGCATCAACTTGTGAACGAAAGGAAAGATATGAACATAAAATAAATTCAACAAAACTGGAAAAATGAAGAGAAGAAATTCCACTTATGAAAGGTGGTTAGAAAAAAAACCAAAATCAATCGAAGTAGACGAAATTCCACGACCGACCTACGCATTTATCCTATACAGCATTCGTTGTCAAACTCTTCAGTCGAAGCTCTACACATTGGTTATATCTGTGAGATGAATACAACAAACATTTGACGTTGAATTAGTGAATCTCAAATACACTGGAAAAGAGAAAATGCAGACCACATCTTGATCAACAAAATTAGAGAAAATGGCAGATAAAAAATAGAAAGGGAAATCGATTAGGAACTCTTGATTAAAGGAAGATTAGAAATTTCATTAAAATAAAAAGAAGAATTGAAAGCAAAATCAAATGTAGAAGAAAATTCCATTAATTGATAAAACACTCACGATTTGTCAGATTCTTACAGCCTTACGGGAAGCTTTGCACTATGCACTTTTTTTGCCTGAAGCAGCAAAAGGCCCACTCCTCACATCATGATCTGCCACAATTTAAGGAAGTCGAAGTAGTACAAAGTCTTGGCAGAACAAAATTGAAAACATAAAGCATAAACCCAATAAGAGTCATAAACTAATGAAGAAAGAATTTGAAAATTTTCAAACTACTAACCCTACAATATTGTCTCGCCCACACAACATACATCACATTTATCTCCACTACCTGCACTGATACAAATGATTTGAAACCTAATGGAAAAAGCACGATAAATAATTGGAAAATGGATTAATATAAACAAAAACTCCCCAGAGCCAAGAGTTTCCCAACAATCATACATGAAAATAGAAGGAAAAATGAATTTGGTTAATGGTGGACAACCGCTGGAAAGAATGCAGAGATCATGGAGAATCCGAGATTGAAAGTTACCTGCGATAAGAATCAATTGATGTAGAGAAAGAGTCTTTGTCAATATATCTACATGTCTGTTTCTCCCTCCCCCTCGTTGTCTTCTGCTTGATTTCTGCACGACTACAAATATGCTGCAAAAATTAATATGAAACTAAACTTACCCAATGAAATTTGAACACAATGAATTACTTCTCCAGTGTAGTTCATTTCCAAATCCTACTACTTTGAGAGGATTTAAAAAACCCCGTTTTCTAAAAATTTGGAATCTCTAATAACTGAAGAATCACACTATGCAAAACCCAAGTCGTTTGTTAGGACGAAGAATCGCAAAAGCCTCAGAATTTGAAATCTCATATTTCAATGTAATTTCTCTAATTGAAAACCCAACAATAATAATCCAATCGAAATTGATTGTAAAGACAAAAAGCGAAGGAATTTAGGAAAAATCACCTGAAATCTTGTCTAAATCGAGTGTGGATGCTGAAGGAACTTCAAAAAAACATGAAGAAGAGGGGTCTATGCGGAAGACAAAAATGGGTTCGTTTCTTCCAATGTATGACATGTTGTTCACTCTGTAGCAGATGGCGGTTCCATCTCCTCTAGTGTTTACAACCGCTGCGGTTCGATGTGGTGTTTGAGAGTTCTACTCTTTCGTTGAGGTTTTTTTTTTTTTTTTTTCACAAAGCAGTATTTGTGGGAGGATTAATCCAAGGGTCAAAATGAATTTGAAGTGCAAGTATTTTCATGCCGGTGGTTGTCAATTGTTATATTTAAGATGGGTGTTTATATTATTAGCAGCGGATAATTTTACATTTTATAATAATTTTTAAATTGTACGATATTACAATTTTGACCCTAATTTTATTAGATAGTTAACGTTGGTATAGTGTATGAAATGAGGGCATTTTTGGCATTTTGAAAAGCTTCACCTATTTGGACTTCTCACTTTATATATATAGACATTTTATAATAATTTTTAAATTGTATGATATTACAATTTTGACCCTAATTTTATTAGATAGTTAACGTTGGTATAGTGTATGAAATGAGGGCATTTTTGGCATTTTGAAAAGCTTCACCTATTTGGACTTCTCACTTTATATATATAGATAACACCGGGGCTCTTCTAATTAGATCAAGAAGGTTGGGAGTTGGGAGGGAACACATTTGGTGAACAATACACCCACCAATGAACTTGAGTTCCCAACTTGAAACTACTTGTTTGTATATAAATTTGAATTTTAGCCCAAATGGAGATACATACATACTTACATACCTTGGTTCCCCATTTACGAGGGTCTCGACGTTTATCGTACACAATCTTACTCTTGTTTTGCAAAGAGGTTGTTTTCATGGCTTGAACCCATGACCTTTTAGTCACAAAAGAGCAACATTTATGTTGCACAAATACTCGCCCTCCCACATTAATTCATGTGTGATTTCATTATATCTATGCATGAGTTACACACGTACAGTACCTTTCAGTTGGCTGGCATAATGCATTGTGATCTTCATGGGTTTGGGGTTTTTAAACACAAACTTATTAATTTCATATGAACTAAATGATTGAGACGGTCCAATGGCTACCTCTGGTTCTAAAAGCCAAGTGATAAATTTCGCACGAACCATTTCCCTCCACCGGTTTGAGAGAAACTTCCACCATTAATTTGATTGTCTCAACTTTTGCCAATGTAGTCTACTCCATGCATAAACTCAAGATGAAGAATTGGCGAAAGTTGAGACAATTAATGGTCAAAGAGCTTGGCCCATCTCTCAAATCGGTAGAGTATATATTGAATCCAGATCCTTTCCGGATCTAAGGATCCTGAGCTTAGGGATCAATTGATCCGGCTCGATTAAATTTGATCTAACGATTACAATTATTATAACTTTTAGTAGGACCCCCTGTTTATGACCGTTAAATCAAATTTCAACAGACCGGATCAATTGATCCCTAGGCTCAAGATCCTTAGATCCGGAAAGGATCTGGATCCGTATATATTTGCCAGTGTGGTCTACGCCAAACTCCTCCACCGTTAATTGCTTACCCCCTAAGTGCCTTAACGTGCATATGCATATGAAGTAAGAGCATCTTCAATCATGGTCTCTTTTTCATAACAAAGTTTTAGTTAAAATTATCAAAATATTATTGTAGAAGGTCCTTAAAAGAGTTATACTCCAACCATACTCCTTACTTGAGAGTCATAATGATTATGAATCAATAATTAACCAATAATTTAATTTTTAAAATAATATTAAAAAAAAACTGTTATTAACACTTTAAAAATTTCATATTCTACACTCCCCACATATGTAATTTTTTTTTTCTTCCACTTATAGAAAGTTTGGAGTGCAAGATGAGATTTTTTAAGTACAAATAAACTGTAAAAAGTAAGGAGACAAAGAAGACATACAAAAGCCTATAACAAAAGCAACATAAACTGTAGAAAGTAGGGAGACGATAAACACCCAACGCGCAGGCCAGGGTCCTCCCCTTACCGCCTCCAATACAACAAACTAGCAAGGGGGACATGGAAGCCCATCCTTGTTCAGAATACGAACTAACGAAGATGGAGGTCTACACAAAAGAATGAAGCCATTATAGCAAAGTGGATTCACAATTTCAGTCGCAATAGTTACATAATACTACCAGTAAAAAAGGAAAAATAGAAAAAAGTAAGACACGAAAAATGGCAACGACGACGCTATTCCTTCATTCCCAAACAATTACAAACACGCATTCGCACAAAAAGGTCACACATGTTTTTACACCTGACGGGAATACATTCAACTCCCTTGCATAATTGCGAGTTTCGGGTTCATGGCATTCCCTTCCCTACCTGGAAATGACTATCCAATAATCACTGATCATCCAAATGCACACCATCTTAAAATCAATAATACAAACTAACCCCATCATTGAACTGCATCCTTCGACGTCACATGACCTCTACTTTCAGTGATATTGACATTAGCAAGGACGTCCGGTGCAATTTCCCAACTCCCACTTCTTCCCCAACTCGAGTGCCTAGCATCAGATCGAATAGTGGGAGCCCGGTCTGAACCTAAAGCAGAGAGCACCTCTGAGGTATTATGAGGTCCGTTGCTCCCTCTACTGCGTATGTCCTCATCAATTTCTTCAATGTTACGACGCTGTGAGATCTTCAACAGATCTTCACCAATATCTAAATCATCCTCAACCTTTGAACGTGGATCCCCACCAGATTCATCAGGTTCTGCTTCCCGTGCAATGGGCATAGGGGGAGGCCTTTGTACCTCCTCTTCAACGAAAGCTCGAAAGTTATTTCTAGAGGGTTTTACTTGTGTGCAAAACACTTCGAGAAAGTTATTTAAACAGCCCCGGTTGTAAACATTGATCCTATTGTCAGCTCTGTACCGGAAGTTTTCATACGTAGTCTGAAAAAAAAAGGGGGGAAATATCTATTGAAATGAATATCATCAGAATAATAATAGAGTAAATAAATCAGACAGTAAAGCAACGAATATGTTCTTCCAATGTAAGGGTTGAAATGATTATTGAAATACTAAAGTGTTAACAAGACTCAAAATACTTTCCCCATAAGGGAAAAGAAAGACACTCAAATGAACCATGTACTGCCAGGTTCCTCTGCCTACCATTGCGACACTAAATGACCACCAGTATGAAAAAGATATCAATGCTCAACTCTTTTCTCTAATTCATCAGATGGTTTCATAATCAGTTCGGCTTCTGTCCTCACTACTAGTAAGTGACACAGGATGCATAATTTCATTATTTCAACAATATTATGAGATGACAGATGTATCCGACATGCTGTCATCTTGGACTTCATAAACAGTTATGTGAACTTCGTGAATTAGTACTACCACTTGGGCCATACCGTTCAAAAGGACTTAGACATCAGCCAACCCCATATCTTTCATACAAAACTGATGTAAAACCCCGTACTGAACCAAAAAATACACATGGAATATGACTGACCTGGTTGGTACCAATAAGGTACAAATGGAAGCCGGTTAGTCCACCAACAAACCAAAGAGAAATGAAACAGTAGGCCATTAGAATCACAGATGCAGGAGATTCTTGCATTGCCTTCCAAACTGTCCTGTGATCATCCATCAGAATCTTGATGTACACAGCCGATAATGAGAATACATAGATGCACAGCAGAGTTGCAGAAGAAACGAAGAGAAAGAAGTAACGATAATTGCACTGCACATAACACAAGAAATTAGATTTTTAATGCAAAATGCCTCCTGAATAAAGGAAACAAGAATCAACTACAAAAATGAGAGAACAAATCAATCTAGCACTCCCAAACATTACTAATGAGGAAAGTACAATTCACATGACACAATTTTTAAGTGCCGGCTAACAGCATACCTGTCCAATGCATTGGCCCACCCAAGGGCAGTGGTGATCAAAGCGCTCCACACAATTGTTGCAAATAGAACAATGAGAGCAACGAGGCGGACGATATAGCATACAAGTATCACAATATTTCACTCTCACAGGAATGCCATTGACCGTCACTTCTTTTGTTCTGGGGAATTGAAGGCTTGGAGTTTGTCTACCACCAGCATTAGATGCCACTTGTCTTCCACCAACATCAATGGACACTGAAGAGTCATAACGGAACTCTTCCTCTGGTGGATGTGCATTTCTTGGAATAATCCCTGGGTCCCGGGCTGAAGTAAGAAAAAGAAGCACCAACACCTATCAACATCAACTAACGAATTAATTTATGCCCAAAACTCAGACAACGATAGAACTTCAGTGGAAACACTTTTGAAAAGATTGCAATCGATATGAATACTACTGTTGTTATTTACAACAGTGAGTATAAAACATTCTAGAGGGTGATTAATATCATATTTGAAAACTAGAGTTGCAAAAGAACTACATTTCATAAATGTCAGAGGAAGATTAAACAAATAAATGCAAGACCTAGGTTAACTTATCATTCACAAAATGCATAGTCTAGGTGACTTTGAATCAAGGCCTTCCTTTTATTTCACATCTCTCTCTCTCTCTCTCTCGTACTTTTCAGCTCTAATGTAAGCTTCTTTCTTGTTTGGGGGAAAAACACAACAAACATATAGGCCTTGTGCATAGATTTGGTACTGACAATATTTATGTCACAGTTTAGTAAATACAACAGTGTCTGCCTTTATCATTTATTCCTCACAATTTCCTGAAACAAAAATTTATTTATTCCCCAACTTAAAAAGTCAATTCAAGTAAAAATCCTCAAGATCTAAATATAAGATTTACCAAAATTAATTATGAGAATTTTAACTACCAATACAACACCACCAATCCACACATGTAAAATGTTGAACTAACGGTGCAAACTTAACAGGCAAATATATGATCTCTTAAGCTTTGCATTAGAATTTCATTCTATTTGTGGGGGTTCCCATTCCACAGGGATCTGGGGTTACGATTTAAATATTCACATGAACGTGTGCATAAAGCATTGATAATAACTTATGCAGACCCAGCGGAAGATGGCACAGTGCAACCCCACAAACAGTATTAACATTCAAATGCAAAGCTCAGAGGTCACATGTGTTGGTTAATGGCCACATTACCTAACCATTCATCTGCATGCGGCCATGCCAAACACATGGTCTATTATTTGTGTAAAAACTCAAAATAATGTCTGCCAGATTACAAAATTAAAAATAAAAAGGTTTAGAGGACTTACATAGATAGTAAATACAATTGCTACAACCAGAATTGCATAGCCAGCATTATATGAAGAAAATTCATGCCGGAGATGCCATGCGACAAATACACAGAAGATAATAACCGGAGCAATGATTAATAGTAATGTGACAAGCAGTGACCTAGCATCTGGCCCAAATATCAACCTTCCACCAAGGATGAACTTCTGCAAAAGGATGAAGAAAAAGAAAGTTGACGAACCGTAATAATACCACAATAGAGAGAAATCAATCAAACTAGAGTAATTACAAGTACACCGCGGATAGTATAGTCAGCCTCATCATGTTAAGAAGTCCCAAAATATATACCTTTTCTCATATCATTAAAATAAAAAGTCAAAGCCAATAGTCATAAGAGCTGTGTTTTTACGGCAGGGATTTGGCCATTATGAAGATGTGTCATATTCTTGCAACCAATAACAATAGAAACTCACCAAACTAGCAATAATGAGAGGAAAGATTTCAGCAATGTCTATCTATATAAACATACAAACAGGGCATTCCTTTTTAAAAACAACACGGTTAAGGCCCAACAAGAATACATGGTATGAACTGTTCAATTTTAAGGCCTCCATTCAATAATCAACCTTAAAAATATTCAGTCAAATTAAACGCTATCATCATTACAATCATTATCATTTGAGTGTTAATTGGAAACACTGTGTTCATCTATTTGATCACAGCTAGACAAATAAATGACTTCTAGTTGCGAATTTTCTGTAAGAATATTCTGACTGACTCCCATTTTACAATTAACTTCATTTGTAAAATCAAAATCTGATTCAACTACACAGAAGCACATTCAGCTTTATTTCATAGAACGGTACAAAGCCTTAATATAAGTTTTAACAAGCTCAAAATATAAGCATTTAGATAAATTAAAGCAATAAACATCTATCAACCAAACCAGATAACAAAAAATGGTAAAGCAAGAGTGCTGCAGACTCAGAACAATATCAGGACTCGGTCTGAAAATGGGTTTGACCAAGAAAACAATGCCTAAATATTAAAGTATTTTATTGATTGACTAGCACACAATGCCCATGCATGGCTTCAATAACATAATCTACTCACACCAATACTTGCATTTTTCATCCTTATACCAGTGTTTGCTTTCATACCTCCTGACCTAATCAGGCTTAAAGCCATAAAAAGAAGTCAAAATGTAAAACCGGACATTAACAGGAATTCATGCATCCAAAGCATGCAATCCAGCAACAAGCAGTCATCCAAATATAAAACCCGGTGGCAGCATTGATATATAGAAAGATGGCCCTCGGGTGGGCAATAAACAATACCAGATTGTCTTGACAAACAAATAAAACCACTGTGTTACAGGCTTCTTGAGAACTAAGTTTGTTGTGGAGATCGTAGTCAATAGACAATAAATTCCTACAATACTGATCACAAACAGCAATATAGCTGTTAGGACTCAGAAGTTAGGTTAAAGGTTCTTTCAAGCATGTATGTAGGACGGCCACAGGAACTATCAACAGAAAATGCAGATGTTAATTAAATGTTCTAAATGCAGGACCTTATGGTGAAAGAATGTGTTTCAGATGATAAACCACTTAATCAACCAGTAAATCACAACCTAATTCGAACCCAATTTAGAACTGTAAGTCTATAACACAGTAAACCACTTAATCAACAAAACCCACTAATTTTCTCAAAACCCAACAAATTTAAAGCATACCTAGATGATAAATCCTAGTAAAAATCCCAAATTTGAAAACCCAAAAAAAAGCAAAGGGGCTTACATTACTTCCTTTCCAGACTTCGTACACGCGCTTTGCTGCCATGAGAAACCCTGACCTTGCTTCTTCTATTCACGCACTAGGCAGGAACAGAGTCAAAGATTTGGAACTTGTGGGCGTTCATCCCTCATTCGCATTCAAATTTGAAACCCCACACACAGACACACTCCCCCAAAAATTTGATTGAATACTATAAAATGGCTTCCGGAATTGATCTGTTCAATGAGAGATAATGAGCGGAAGACACAAAAATCAGGTAGTGAAAATGAGAAAACTAATTAAATAAGAAATAGGCATGAATAACAAAATGCAACCAAAAAATATTTGGAAACAACAAAATGCAACAATAAAAGAACCAAACCCATAATCGAAAAGCAAATAAATTACACCCACCACTTACCGTCTTTAGCCTTTAAGAAGCTTTAAGCTTTAATGTCTGCAATCTGGAGAAAGATAAATCACAGACAGACACAGAGACCAACAGATTTTACAAAGAGGAAAAAGGCAGCCTGCCTTTTGTTGATGTAGGAGTAGACATGGCTGCGAAGGCGAGTTGAAGGGGCTATGAACAGAGCGATTGAGTTATGGATCTGGATTTGTGGGTTTGCCGTCCAACTCCGGAACGATCTGGAGAAATTTGGGTTTTAGGGTTCTAGGGATTTGAGTGAACTGAAATTGATTTGGATAAGCAATTTTTTGTTTCGATTCGCAGTGGAGCAACAATGAAGCCGTGGAGAAGGAAAGAACGAAGCTGGGAGAAAATTTGGTTTCGATTCGCGGTGTTTGGTTTCGATTCGCAGCGGAGGAAGAAGGAAGCGGCCGAGAGGAGGAACGAATGAGGCTGCGAAAAGATGCGTAATGAAACGGTGTGGAAGAATCTCTAAAATATTAGAAAGCCAGATGAGTATTTGTGTTTCAGGGTTTCACATAAAGGTTTTGGACAAAAACACCCCTCAAACAAAAAAAATTCTATAACCGGCCGGAAATTGATCATTTATAGTTCAAAGGGTGTTTTTGGGATAAAACAGATAATAAAAAAGAAAAAAAAAAGAAATTAACTTCCAAAGAATAGAAAACGTGCAACCAGAGTCGCGAATGGACAAGTTTTGGGGAATGAAAGATAACTGCAACGTTCGGTAAACTTCTCCCGATTCCCCAACTCCAGCAAGCTAGGATCGTAAAATATCAAAGTTAATCAAATCAGATTCTTATACCGAATTGCTTCTCGTCCATTGCAAGTAACATAAAGATTAAACGGTTTTTTTCTGTTTATATGCCTCCGTCGATTTTGTAATACATTATAGATGGTTTATCGTGATGTCTTAAATTCGCAAAGCTCTTTTCGATGTATGAAGTCATGTTTTCTCGATTATTACAGCTATTGTTGTCCATTTCATATTAGAGTTTGAATTTTTTTTCTTGTTCCATTTTGGTAGATTAGAATTATAAGACCAAAGATAACCATTTTCATATTTGTTTTATATTTTATTATATTGTATTTGTTTTTTCTTTTTACAGGTTTGAAGCGAGAATTAGATTTGGAATCCAAAGAATGTTAATCTTCCGAACAGTAATTTCCTTTTTCCTTTTAGCCTCTTTTTTTCCTTATCTCAGTGCTTTATCCTTTTTATGCTTCTAAGGTGCAGTTTGGGATTGAGCAGTTTGGGGTCGAGGTGATTAAAAAAAAGTTGGGAGCTTTTTTGTATTTGGTAAACATTCAGCTTCAGCTTTTTTTCATAGTTTTTTGTGAAAAAAAACAAACCAAAAACAAGAAGCTGCAAAACCCAGCTTCGAAAAATCGGTTTTTTTTTCACATCAGTTTTACATAAAAGTTTACCAAACACTATAATACTGATTTTTTTCAAAAGCATTTTTACAAAAAAGTTTACCAAACACTCTACAGTTTTATTTCACAGCCGCTTATTCTCACAGCACAGCAGAGGCAGCTTTTTTTCAAAGCACGGCAATACCAAACCAGCCCTAAGACTGCTATGATTAGTCGTTAATTTTTTTCCTAGTGTTCATTAGTTTGTTGCCAATCCTGGTTTATTTGGTGGTGTATGTTTGGAGAGAACTTACTAGACATGGATCTTGACAGTGTCAAGTTGATTTCAAGATTTTAGAAATTCATACAATAGCGATCAAAGAGAGATAGGTGGGCAAGCAAGTTTTCCCAAGAAAAAAAAGGCATTCTTGGTAGATTTGTATGTTTCGTAGTAGTTTGTTTCACTATTTCGTTGAGTTTCATGTGTAAATTGATAGGTTTTATGTAACGAATTTTCCTAATCAATTATGATTAGAAAAAGTTGATTATGAATTACTAGCCTTTTGAAAGAGTTATAGGTTGCAAATGTGGTGTCAAATGACTTTAATTTTAAACAAACAAAAAAACTTATATTTGGCTTTTAGTGTTTGTTCAAATTGCTTGCAACCTTAAATTTGTGAATGTGCATAATTCCCATCTTAATTAGTTACAATCTTTATTTTATCATTATCGCTTGCAAGTTGACAATGAAATGTAAAGCACCAAATGCAAACAAATGGGTAGCAAGCATGGCTGTGATGTAAGTAGTAGACGCTATGTTCACATATGTACATATTTTGCTTTGGTTAATACATTAAAGCATATCATCATTAAAGAGAATGGCACCATCAAAACAGACCATCATACAGGTAGACTTTATGTATTTTCATGTATATATTGTTCATCTTTTGTTTTGGATTAATGTATCATACCATTATTTGGTCATGATAGCTTGAAAAAATATGACCTACGTCATACAATTAAACAATGACAACATTTTCATTTAGACATTTAACGAACATATTAAAAAGATTTTTAGAAGCGCTCAACGCTCATGACAAATTAGAGGCCTTTCACATGTGCGTATGCGTGTGTAAAAAGGCTAGTGTAGATTGATCTAAAGAGGCATGGGCATTTTCGCACATGCAACCCAAGCAAAAATGAAATTATACAAACCAAGCAAGGGCAACATAAGCAGCAGACTGTTCAATGAACAGTGTTTTAGTTCATTTTCTCTTTTAGTATAGGTATAATTTATTGATTTAGCATTATCATTATACCATCTTTATATAATACATCAAATACATGAGTGGTTACTCAAAGGTTCTCTATAGTAACCCAACAACTTCTCTACATTATTACGATGTTTATGATAGTTTACTAACATACATTATTTGTTTCACTACACTTTCCCTTGGATGTTCTTGTAGCAATGATAGTTGTCTCGACAAAACCTTGCTTGGAAATCCTAGTGGGATAAAACCAACACGAAGGAGAAAAACCGAGCATAGTTAAAAAGACATTGATAAGTTGTTGGATGTGCATAATTTTGCCTCGTCAAAACTTTGACATGAAAAATCTAGGGGGATAAAACCTAGTTGAAGGGAAAAAAACACAACACGCTTAAATTCCCCCTGATGAATAAGCTTGGGTAGAACTTGACCTGGGGAAATGCATAAGTTTATAGGGAGTTGACAATAGCTGTTTGTGTTCATGCAAAGAACAAATAAATATAAAATACACTAGGAGTAATATAAAACTCCATGGTAAATATAAACCATATATTAGCCTTGTAGGCTCTTCAAGAGTTTTATGTCGGGCAGAGGCTCTCTGATGGTCAAGTTAGTAAGCAATTTTAGAATCAAGCAATGGGCAAGAGAATCTGAGTATTGAGAATTATGTTACTAGAGACGAACCCTAGATGAGTGTATTTATACCATTGGGAGAGAAACCGTTTTAGGATAGAATCCTCGTTCTAATATGGGAAAATCCTAGAAGATATCTAAAAATAGATATTGCACCCTCTTAAAAGTTATGATTATTTGAGGCACACGTCAATTCCTAAATTTTAGGAACTTCAAGATATATAAGGATCTGATTGAAACCATATTCGGATCAGATTGCGTATCTTGTAAAACAAACGTGGTCATCTAGCAGAGTCGCGCGGACTTCGCCTATTGCCCCGGAACACGGTGATGGTGGCACTACTGCTCTGTCTGGTCCAGCTCCGCTCGGAGCTGTCAAGTCCATGACCAGACTTCTAAGGTAAATTTGGATCAGCCTTACTATAGCCCTGGAAAATCATGGTTTCACATTGTAATACCTTGAAATTTTAAAATATATGAATATGTGGAGTAAATTGAGAATAAATAGATTTATGGTTATGGAAAATTGATTAGAGAAATTTTAAAATTTTGTTTCCAGGATTATTTATTATAATTTACGTCAAAAAATTTATTGATAAGTGAAAAAGATGAAAATGCCCTAGTTGACTAAATGTAATTTTACGAGGACATATTTTATCCTCATGTAATTTAAATTATTTCTTGATAAATTTGGATAAAGCTCGGTCCTACAAGTGTGTAGGCACAAACCGTTTGACAAACGGAGTTATAACGAAGGAGTTATTAACGTTCAAAGTTAAGGACATTTTGGTAATTGTCCTTCAATCTAGAAGGCTACAGATTTTCTAGAGCAATGAAATGTGCCACGTGTGTGGCTGGGATGAAAGGAAAAGAAGAGAAATGAGAGAGATGGACAGTTGAGATGGAAAGATAAGAAAAGAAATGTGGTGGGGAACTTGCCAATCAAAAGGGGGGGAATGAGGGAAATGAGGGAAAAGAGAAAGAGGGAACCGGACCCCTCGTCAACTCGCCAACCCGATCCCGCTATATCTCCCAATTCCGGCCACCGTTGATAACGGGACCGGTGTCATGTCGATCCTCACCTCGAACCCAGTCGATCCCTCCTTCAATTTCACCCAAAAACCAACGTGTTTTGGCATGTTTCACTAGGAAAACCCCTCGATGCCGCGTGGGTACCTTGGCTTCGATCCGCCATTTCTAAAACAAATTCCATCAAATACCACCACCAATAGACTCCCCTCAACCCCAAGAACAAAGCCCAAGCATTGGTTAGGGCGTCAGAACTGTTTTGGCGTCGAATCAAGAACACCAAATTCAATGGGTTCCAATGGTTTGAGGGTAATTTGAGGTGTTTCCCCGTTGAATTGGACTTCAGCCTAGGTATGAACGTTGTTCCTCTCATTGAACTCTACTTGCCTGTAAAATTTGGTAATTTTTAGAGTTAGTTAAAAAATTGGGTTTTCATTCGTCAGAAACCGCCACCTGTGGCGGAGCGTGGCCAGTGGGCCGATGCTGCCATTTTGTGCAAATTTTGATATTCTAAATACGAATTGGGTATCCAATTGATGTGTTTGATTATTAAACCCAATGTTGGTTATTTTGGTTACTTGAATATTTTCGGAAATGGATTATAATTGAATGGTGAACTACGAAAACTTAATCCCGTTTAAGGGTACGTAGGCAGTCTAACAGGAGTTAGATGCAGCCTTAAAATAACCGAGATTAAGCTTTATCGAAAATTAGAAAGAAGAAAAGGGTTTGGGTGTTTAGTATAAAGTTTAACCTTATGTTGTTGGTAAATAAATTTAGCTATAGATTTTGCGAGAAATTAAGAATTTATTAAATAAATTGTGATTAATGATATAAAATAAACAAGAGTTTAATTTGGCCTATCACCATAATTAGTTGCCAAAATAATTTTTTTGAGTCGGGGCGTTATACACACCCTTTATAAAAAGGATAGTGTTATTCACACACCTATTTTTATCTCCAATACACTCTTATTACTATTTTATCATTGATATTATTCAATTTATTCGATCCGATGACCAAAAATTGAGAAAAATATATAAGAAGTAACAATAAGTGTGTAGATAACACTGCTCTTGCAAAAACTATGGAGCATGCCTTGTGGTATAGAGTGCATGAGGCGAATTGACATAGTTGAATCATACGAGGTGAGTTTTTTTATCTACAAAATTGTACTATACTACTTTTTATTCAACTAATTTATGTATTTTTATAAATTTATCAGGTTGGTTCAAGAAGAAAAAAAAATGGTATTCCATTGATATGAAAGAAAAAAAAATCACTTTGGATCATTATTTTTCAGAATTTCAATCTCAAAAATAATATTTTGTGTTATTGTAAGTTGTTTTTATCATTTTAGTATTTTCTTTTTTAATAATAGTAGTATAGTTGAATGGTTACCCTTTAAAAAAGATGGGTGCACCGTGCACCCGAGAGAGAGAGAGAGAGAGAGAGAGAGAGAGAGAGAAGGGCACAAAACGGTGTCTCGAGCATAAGCCAAGCGACCGGAAAGAATGGAGTCAGAGGCAGATCATACACACTGTGAAATTGACCAGATTGAAGAACACTGTGCGCGTCAGCTGCTCTGCCTGACGGAACAGCGTACCGGAGAAGAGCCGCGGTACACCCACATTGAGCAAAACGAGTTCTTGCATAGAAGGTGAGTTACAATCACTGTCTCACTGTTAGTTTTTAGCTTCGGCATGAGCTTGTGCAATTCGGTTTATGGAAATCGAACTGCATTGGTTGATGAATTGCCAATCTGTTATCTGGGTTTCTCAATTTGTTGTCTTTTCTTGTAAATTTTGGGGTTTGTTTAGTTTTTTAAATACGGGATCGGAAAATTATGCTGTTGAGAGGATTGATTGTCTATTTCATTTGGTTGTGAATCTAAAGTATGAGGTTTTGGGGTTTAGGGTGTAAGATATATGATATGCAGTTATTTTCTTAATTGAAAATATTATCTTGTGTTGCCATGGCTGAAATACATCTGCTAACCTGCTCAAGGAAAGCTTTCTGCAGTTTGTTATTGTTTTTCACATTCATATTTAAGTCACTGTAAATTAGTACTCTGTCGTCCACACATGGGACAATGTTAATTTCTCGACTTTCTTGCAGACTCCATTACTTTGTTTTCTTGTTTTGGGTGGTGGTGGTGGTGAAGTTGCAGGTCATATCATAAATACTTGCATTGGAAATTTAAAATTATATAACAAGGGTTTCTTCTCTTCTATTTGTTTTATTTTTTGCAGACATAAGACACAGGCGGAGGAAGATATTGCTATATGTGAATGCAAGTATGATGAAAATGATCCTGAAAGTGCATGTGGGGAGAGGTGTTTGAATGTAATAACCAACACAGAATGCACTCCTGGGCATTGCCCTTGCGGTGTCTATTGCAAGAATCAGGTAAATTTTTATTTTTTTCCTCTGTGTGTGTCTTCTCTATTTTCTCCTGCTCATGGGTTTGTGAATATGGACCTGATAGCTTGCATATTATTTCTTCATATTTGTCTTTTTCTGTTTATACGTAAGCCTTCATGACATCGCCAAGTATAATTCAGAACTTTGTACATTGTGATTGTAGAAGATTATACTACTTAACCAATCTGTATTTTATTTATTCTATTTCCAATTCTCTTTTGTATTTGCCAATTCATATTATCCTCATGTAATGTTTACCAGCATATTGGTTTTAGCAGTATTGATCTTAACCGATTTTCATCTATCAAATGTTTCAATTCTTCACAAAAAGAGTAAATATGGTGGTAAGACCACGGTTACCACTGGAGGTGAGAATTTGTTGCCAAATACAAGGAAAGTTTATCTTTGATAGCGACATCATACTATTTGTAACCAAAAAATTTAGTTAAAGGTGGGCAGGGAGAACTAGATGGGGGGTTGGCAATGGCACCACTCTTCAATGTTTGTCTTTCATAGTTGCATCTGTAACTCTATTTTGTTTTTTAAACATTCGTTATGCTGTTTTCAACTGTCTAATAAATTATCTAAAACAACTTTTCCTTTTCTTGAAAATATTGGGATAGTGATGTACTTAGCATGAGTTTAAGATAATTTGAATCTTCAGTTCCCTGTTCAAATACTATGAAATTGATATTATTCATTTCTGATACCTCATTTGTTTACTGTCAACAGAGATTTCAGAAATGTGAATATGCCAAGACAAAGTTGTTTAAAACAGAAGGTTGTGGTTGGGGTCTTTTAGCTAATGAGAATATAAAGGTAAAGCCTACTAGTTTGTATTGATTTATTACAATTGTATACTGACTTCTCTTTACCTGGGTTCTTTTCTATTCAATTATTTACTTGAATCAATTATATACAGATTACTGAATTTTAGGTAAGTTTCTGGTTGCTGTTTCTTTTTGAAACATTTGAACTGTATAGTGCATCTTGGTATGTTATTTATCTTCGGAACTTTTGTTTTTGACTCAACTGAGAACATTGAAGCTTTATAAGTCTATGAGCTTTTTATAGTTTTATCTTTTGAGTGAATCTGTAATTTCTTGTAAGCTATTTGATTTGTTTTATACAATGCAGGCAGGACAATTTATTATTGAGTACTGTGGGGAAGTGATATCATGGAAAGAAGCAAAGCAAAGATCTCACACTTATGAAATCCAAGGTGATTTAATAGGCTTACCAGATATCTATTTGTATTACTTTATTGAAACTGACTTCAATTTGTGCATTGATGTAGGTCTCAGAGATGCATTCATTATTTCTCTCAATGCTTCTGAATCTATTGATGCCACTGAAAAGGGAAGCGTTGCTCGATTTATAAATCATTCATGGTGAGCCTCATCAGGCAAATCTTTCTGGGAAAGTTTAGTATGTTAGTCTAGTATATCTTTAGACTAACTAGCTGTTATCTTTTACTTTTATTTTACTTGCCCCAAGTTGAGATTGAGTTATTATACGTTAATGTTTTCAGCCAACCAAATTGTGAGACAAGAAAATGGAATGTGTTGGGGGAAATTAGGGTTGGAATATTTGCAAAGCAAGATATATTGGCTGGAACAGAGTTGGCATATGACTACAATTTTGAATGGTATGGGGGAGCTAAGGTTCGCTGCCTCTGTGGTGCTTCTAGCTGTTCAGGATTTCTTGGGGCAAAGTCTCGTGGTTTTCAGGTAATTTATTGATTGACAATTCTGGATACAAGTTTCATTTTAGATATTAAAGATGAAATAGCAGTTGTTTTGAGTGTGTGCTATAGGTGGCTGATATCTCCATAGCTGCTGCATATTATCTATTTCTTATTATAAAATTATCTGGATACTGCTGTTGAACTAAAAAAACTTAAATCTTGACTGTAAAGCATAATGCAAGTTCCTCAATCTTTCTGGTTACATTTTATTTTAATCTTTTGAGTTTCTTTTTCTCTAGGCATGGGCCCATTGTTCTTTGAAATTCATTGCATAACCTCTCTGAAGCTATCAACTTTCCAGGATCATAAATACATATATTATACTTATAAAATGGTTTTAGGTTTTTTCAGTGTCCATAGTGTCCATCGGTTTGCAATTATCCTACATACTTTTATGGGGCATATGTCTGACGCTTAGTTTAGAGGCATTGTTTCAATTAGTGTAAAGAAAGAAAAACTTAGGCATTCCTCACCTAGTCACCCTGAAAGTTTCTTAGGGCATACAAATGTTTTGTGAAATTTCTAAAAAGTATGGTATAGCAAACTCACACTTAAGATAAGTAAGAAAAAAGGAATTCTTTTGTTATGGGTTTTATATTATTTATTTTTTAAAACCCTAGTAAATAGAACCCCAAGTCTCTATCATTCATACCCGCACGCTGTTACGCAGCCAATTGACCCCCTAAGAAGCATGCAATGCAAAATTTGAATGGTTACTATATGGCAGCATCTTCATCATCAGTTGGGAGTTGAATTGTAACAGTTGGTATTTCAAATTTTTGTTCTTCTAGTGGTTTTTATTCTTTCAAAAAGGGTTTTGTAGAGTTCACGGTATTTCAATTATGCTCTTAATTCAGAAAATTCGTAAACGTTGAGGTGTTTGGCAGGAGAGAAATCTCTGGTTTCATCTCCTTTTCTTCCTCAGCGAGACTACTCACAACCTGAAAAATATATATTTACGGTTTATCACGGGCCAGTTATTGGGTTTCATAAATGAATTTGGCTTTGCCAAATTTGGGACCAAATTGGGTTGTTTTTAACATGTCTCATAGGGACTGAATATGAGATTGCCAATTTTGTGGTTTTAATGGTTTTAGGCCTGATCAGCACGCTCTGAGCTTTAATAATTCTTCTTAATGACTATGGTAACCTTTGGAAAATGACTTAAAAAAACTTAATTCACATCTAAAATGTTTTCCAGTTTCTCAACCATATTCACTCAGGCTTATACCTACCCTACGATCCAATTATAACCATAACCCTATACCTATCACAATCTTCAAAATCAGCCCTTCCTCACTCCATAAACCCCAATCACGTAATACCACCCATATTGAGTTTTCTTGGTCAATGGAGCATCAAATCATCATTTATGACAAGTCAGTGAGAATGGAAAGGTATGTTATATGCCAAATTAGTTGAGCTTATTTTGTCCTTTTGGTTACTAAAAACTGGGCTTATGTTTTGTTTGGCTACTTAGAGCTGAGCACTAAACGTACTGTGCAGTTCTATGTGGCCGAACAACAATTCATTAAATGTAGCCATCTATTGCTGCAGAGCACATTTGGAGTGTAACCAGAAATGGCTGCACACCAACATGAAAGTGGAGCCAGTATAGCCACGCAATTCTCTCTATGTGCTGTATTCTGATACAGAACACTGACCAAATTCTTTATCTAAACTTGTTTTCTCTAATGCAGGGCGAAACTTCTTCTCGAGGTAGTGGGGTTGGCTCAGAATGTGCAACGGACTACACAAGTGAATTTACAACTAATGAGGTTACCAACTCTATCTTTAAATTGATAATGGACTTCATTATGAGACAGCTTCACTAGCTTAGGGTTTGGTCAAAATATTTCTTGCACCAACATGGAAGTGCTTCCATCAGTTACTATGGCTCCTCTTGTGACGTGTTCTTTATTCAAACTTGTTTTTGAGAATGCAGGACGACAATTCTGCCCGAGATAGTGGGGTTAGCTCAGACTGTGTAATGGATTTCACAAGTGAATTTACTACTTATGTGGTAACCAACTTCATTGTTAAAATAGCATTGGTCCCAATAAGAGCCTTATGGATATTTTGGGTACTTATATGCTAGTTTTCTATTGTTTTGTAGATATTCAAGACTAGAGAGTCCTTGATGCAGTGGGCTCGTGAGGCTGGGAAGCGAAATGGGTTTGTTATTGTGACAATACGATCTGATATGGGTAGTAAGAGTACGAAACCAAGAGTTACATTAGGTTGCGAGAGGGGTGGAAGATTTAAGGAGAAGAAAACTAGGGCTGCAAAAAAAAGACGTGGGACAGGCACAAAGAAGTGTGGGTGTCCTTTCACATTGAAAGGGGAGAAGTCAGCGAATGGGGACGGATGGATGCTAAAGGTTGTATGCGGAGTGCATAACCATGCATCCACTGAGTATCCTGATGGGCGTTCATATGCAGGGAGGTTATCTGAGCAGGAGACTTCACTCTTGATAGACTTGTCAAAGAGTTTAGTACGACCCAAAGAAATCCTGAGCACTTTGAAGCAAAGGGATGAACTCAATGCTACAACCATAAGGACGATCTATAATGCACGCCAAAGGCAAAGAGTTAAAGAGAAGGCAGGGAGGTCTCAAATGCAACAACTGTTATGTAAGTTGAATGAGCATGACTATGTCGAGTGGCATAGGAGGTGCCCTATGTCAGATAGTGTGCAGGACTTGTTTTGGGCGCACCCTGTGAGTTTGGAGTTGTTACGTGCATTTCCAACCATTTTGATGATAGATTGCACGTATAAGACCAACAGGTACCATTATCCCTTACTAGAGGTTGTAGGCGTCACATCCACTGATATTACATTCTCAGTTGCATTTGTTTTTTTGGATTCTGAAAAAGAGGACAACTATATATGGGCATTAAGTAAATTGCGTGGTGTCATGGTGGAGTGTCCCATGCCAAATGTAATTGTCACAGACATGGATTTGCCATTGATGAGAGCCATTGAGGTAGTATTCCCTACAGCTAAAAATCTTTTATGTAAATGGCATATTAATAAGCATGTGTTGGCAAAATGCAAAAACTTGTTTGAGTCCAAGGAAATGTGTGATAGATTTATTATGAAGTGGAATGTACTTGTGACCTCTCCTACAGAAAATGATTATATGTGGGATCTAGCAGTGTTACAGAGAGAATTTAGTATGTACACTGAGGTCATGGAGTATGTTACAAACACCTGGTTGAATCCTTTCAAGGAAAGATTTGTGTCGGCTTGGACGGACATGATCATGCATTTTGGTAATGTAACATCAAACAGGTAATTTCACGAGGTTATATTACTCACACTACATTACATTATTGGTTTAATATGAAGTTTGTAACTTTGTGTTAACTTGCTTGCGTTGTTTTATGTTTTAATAGGGTCGAGGGTGTACATACCAAGCTTAAGAGGGAGCTTGGTATGAGCCAGGGGAATTTTGAGGGTTCTTTTGAGAGGATACACCCTCTTATTGAGTTACAGCACAATGACATAAAGATATCTTTTGACAAGTGTTTGACGGTCACACAACAAAGCTTCAAGTCTTCAGAATTCAAATATTTGAGAGGAGTTGTATCTATGTTTGCATTGGAGAAGGTGTTATCTCAGTCCAAACTAGCCATCTCAATTGGTGCTGGTGGTTTAGGATGTGGTTGTGTCATACCCAGAACCCATGGTCTACCTTGTGCCCACGAGATTGTGAAATACAAGAGGGAGTGTCGGCCAATTCCTCTTGAGTCGCTTGACCCCCATTGGACTAAACTTGATATACTACCTCCGAGTTCTGCTCAGGAATCTATGGATGTGAATGAGTTTCCTGAGTTGGAGTTGCTTCAACGATACTTTCTGGAGGCAAATGCAGAAAATAGGTTGATGCTCAGGAAAAGAGTGAGAGAACTTGTAGCACCCTATACAACTAGTCTTGTTGAACCAGGACTAGGAGTCAAGTCCAGATTACAAGGTCAACTGAGGGAGAAAATTGATATGTCCACTCAACAGGACCCATATGCATTTGAGTTGAAATCTGCATTTTTGTATAGTCACTCACCTAGCGCAATGGATGATCAACAAAATTTTAAACATAAGCAAATGGAGCGAACCAAGGAGGTAATAAAGATACCAATTCCTAAATCGAATATCACATAGTTACCCATTTATACATAATGTTCATATTCATGCAGGTGTACCGGACATTATCAATGAAAGGTATTTCGTATATTGATGCGTTCCCAATTGGATTGAGGCCCTTCATTCAGCAAGTCAAGGATGTATGTCATGATGGTCACTGCGGGTTTAGGGCAGTTGCTGATTTGGTGGGATTGGGTGAGAATGGGTACCTGCAAGTTCGTAATGACTTGCTTACTGAGTTGTCTTCATATTCTGCGCATTATGGCGAGTTGTATTGCAGCACAGACAGGGTTCGTGAGTTAGCACAGATACTATCATTCTTTGATGAAGGTAGAGCACCATTTGACAGATGGATGATGATGCCTGACATGGGTCATCTTATAGCATCATGCTATAAGGTTGTGCTTTTCCACTTATCATCTACTCAGTGCCTTACCTTCCTACCGCTTCGGTCAGCACCAGTTTCTTTGCCAAGGCGTCGACAGATTGCTATTGGTTTTATGAATGATTGTCATTGTGTGGAGGTATGATACCAATAATAATGGACTGTTCTATTTTATTTGTAGATAGGCAATGTAGATTAATGTTACATATATTTCTTGTAGGTGTTCTTAAGGCCGGGGCATCCTGTGCCTCCCATTGCGTCTGATTGGATCAGATATCATACGCCAGCTGCACAAGGATGGGACACTGTGTATACTAGTTGTATTTTACGCTTCAAATCTCTTGTCAGCTGTGATCAAATCTGACTCGGTCAGGTGCAAGTAACGACTCCAAACTTTCTCAAAATATGCTTAGAATGGTCAGGTTTGATCACGTCTATGCACAAATGCGCCCTGAAAGGAGTGCCATGCAGTGGATGTTGCTCTCAAATCCCACCATAAGGATCCAAAGTACCTACACAAATAATGGAAACAAATATTTCCAGTGATATATACTTAGTGGTAAAGTGTTAAACCTTATAGTATGGACAGGGTATCTTATATGTCACCTGTTACGAAAGCATCCAGCACCTCTTGTATCCTACAAATCATTCATAGTGGCAGCATTTGACAATTGTGGTATCCAACGACAAACAAGCGGTTGACCTGAGATAGATCATGATATGACCATGTCTCAAAGAGCAAGAAACTTACATACATCTGCCTCAAAATTTGTCAAGTATCCTGTTATCAGTCTAATACCTTGTTAGGTGCCCCAAATGTACATGTGTAGGCAAGGGCCACAACTCCCCATACGCACCACTCATCTGACTAAATTCCATAAGTATACAGTAGTAGGTTTTATACACACTCGCGTAAATTCCGCAAGTATACAGTAGTAGATTTTATACACACTCGTGCACCACTCTTATCAGTTAACTGTACATGTCAACATAAACAATATTCTTAGTATCTTGATCGTGCACATATGAACAAAATTGGGAAGAACTGAAAATCCCTTAAAACTTCACATTAATTTGTCGGTTCTCCATCACTAGTGCTGAAAATCATAATCTCAGCATAAAAGAAAAACTAGCTTCTCTATACTGTATACTTTTTTTTTGTTGTTCCAAGTAGTTTTTGTTTAATCCTAATTGTATTATCATACTTATCTTGTAGGGCATGTTTATTTTATTTATTTATCTCCTTTCTTCTAAGTTTTAGCATTTAGCATTGGGTGTTCATGTGATTTCTAGTGTTCATTTGCTGTTACTGTGCATTTGTTCAAGATATTAGTTAGTGTTGTGTATTTATAATTTTATAGAAACATCTGGTGTGCGTTTTGCTGTTATTTTTGTTTTGTTCAGTAAATTGTTCTTCTTGGTAAATATTTTAACCTGTGTTATGCAACTTTTTTTATAAATAGGAGGATACTTACCTATGGGAAGACGACGATGACAGGTATGTACCATACATTGGGATGCATTTCTCTTCAAAGTTTCTTTCTGCAGAAGTGATTGTTGCATGAATTTCTTTCTTTAACATGTCCTTAGCCTATGCTTTGGTCTGCCCTGCATGCACTTGCTTGTTGATTAGTTGTAGATTTATACTTTAGTTATTGTCCTTCGAAATTTTGTTCCTCATGTTCACGTAATAGGCATTGATATATTGTAATCTAGCAACGACACTTCTTTGAAGTTGTGTTTGTCAGACAACAACACAGTGCTCTTCTATGTGGTCTGTGTGCATTTTTTTACCACCCAACACCCCGTTGACATTTTCCCAACACTTCGATGAGATAGTTGAGGTGAAAATATAGTTTGTTTCTTAAGAGATAGTAAAAAGATGTTATACAATAAGGGTGGGTGCCTAGGGATAAAATTCAAGACTTAGCAACAAGGTGACTTAGTTAACCATGTCCTATGGATGTTACATGTGAATACTAATTCTTATATTTTTTTATTTCTATATTGTTATTTTCATACTTTTATGACACTTACAGAGCTAACACTTAAGTGTGGCTACATTTTGAATTTTAATTATAGGGTTGGATTTATTATGCTGTAGTAATATGGAGTTAGGACTTTGGTTTTACTTTCCCTCGATGAACTTTTTGTCTATTAACTTTATTACAAGCTTTGACTATTAACTTTATTACAAGCTAAGTATGCATAAAGATAAAACTAAATTGTAAAACAATAAAAGAATGTATACACTTCCTGAATCCATGGCGTGTGGTATTTTAATTTGTTAAAACTTGCCTTGTCATTGTTGATGTGCCAGTGTCGTGTCGGTGGCTCCTGATATTTTATATATTTTTGTTCTTTTCCTGTAATCCTATAGTTTGTGATTTTGTATACTTTTGATAGATGGGCAACTTTTTCTTCTCTTTACATACCTAATTTTCTTTAATAAGTATATTTTGTGCATCGTACAAAAGCAAATAATTCTAGTTTAATCTGAAGTCCTGGGCCGTTTCAGACCTTAACTGAACTAATAGGGTAAAGAGAAAACTCTTCAAAGAATTGTGAGTTTTGCGGAAGACTAGAGTTTTGGGAATATCCCCATTCATAGGTATGAGATCCACATCTATGAATGGAAATCAACTCTAAAATCAGTTGTTAGAATCAAAAGGTCTTCAAATCGTTCATTTGAAACAATAGAAACTCTTATTGAAGGATCATGATGTTTTCCAAAAATCTAAAATCTTGATTGATAGAGAAACAATATCACCATTTTGGTTCAGTAAGATACATGAATCAAATGAGTGGATCAGTGCAAGTAGTTTCCACTTATATGGTGGGACTGGTTATCTTGCTAAATTTCAGAACTATTCTAACACAAGACTTGGGTTATCCTTTTCCTTTTGTGGCCTATGTAGTTGAAAGGTATAGGTTTTATGATAGTTTTATCTTGACTATGTCTTTAGTTTAGTATCAAACAAAAATCTCTCAAACGTACCACATTCACTCACGAACACATGTACATATATAGAGATTTTCTTGAAGAATTGTGCATTCAATTTACGACTTTCCTTTCGTATTCAAGTTATATACACAACTGCCTCTTTGTGACAGATATTCAGTTGAGAAAATTCCACTGTACGATTCTGCAGAGGATGAGCCTTCGTCTAGGCTCTTCAAGGCTGTGAACTCCTCAGAGTTTGATGTTGCTGGGATGATGGTGAATGTCAATGTGGATTCTGAACATCAGTTGATGTCTACTGCTCTTGTTGTGCAATCACTTGATTCTGTTCCAATGGAGGGTGTAGTTGTGGAGGTAAAAACAGAAGTGAGCGAGGGGAGGAAACTTTATTCAGAAAACAATCAACTGTCTATATAAAAAAAGAATGCGATGATATCTCGTATCCGCAGTAATACTGCAGGTCGGAATTATCACATTGGATCAGGGTCCATGTCAAACAAAAGATCAAAACAATATAATGGAAAGTTGAAACATGGTGCACAAAAGCAAGTTGACGCCAAGTGTGTTGCTGCGCTTCTAGCATCAAAGGAAGCACAAGAGGAAATTTTAAGTTATGAGGTATTTATTTTCAGTTTTTATTGATCTGCTTGGTGGACTAAAATATCGCCATTAACTTTGCCCTTGCATGTGCATCCATGCGTCACACCCTGTACCATCTTACTGGAGTTGCGTTATTTATATTTTGTTGAAGTACGGTTTTAGTATTTTAACATTATGATTTTTTCACTCTCTTAGAAGTGGTCTATTTATCAAAATTGTTCATGTTCAAATTTCGTTTGCAGCGGATGAAAAACGACTCTGCCACTCATCTTGAATCTCTCTACAACGAGATACGACCTGCCATTGAAGAACATGAAAGGGACAGCCAAGACAGCGTAGCTACCAGTGTAGCTGAGAAGTGGATAGAAGCCTGCTGCATGAAACTCAAGGCGGAGTTCGACCTTTATTCTTCCATTGTCAAAAGCATTGCCTGCACTCCGCGAAGGCCATTTGGCCAGGCCGAACCTTCTGACGGCAGCACCGAGAATGAGATTAAGTACTTGCAGAATTGATCTTTCTTCTAACCACGATCATTGGTTTGAAAATTGAAAACCGAAAAACGTTACTTCTGTTTCGCGACCATCAGATTTACACTATGATTCTGGTACTATTTTTACATATTTGGCGTTGTGAGTTACCAATTTACGTATTATGAAGCTACATTTTTCTTCCGGACAATAATCCGACTTATGGTTGTCATTACCTACCAACTCTCGATCTCTTGGAGTAAGTTGTGAAAAAAAAAGAAAAGAAGCAGGACGCATAGGAACTGCGTCCGAATTTTTTTGGGGCCTAAGCCCCGCTGTGGTAGGCTAGTTGGTTATAACAGTTTAGAATAACGCGTTTAGAATAACGCATTCATTTTGTTGGTTTACATTAGAATTTGGATGTCCAAAGTGGCAGGAGTATCTTTACATTTGTTTCTTCGAAACTTGTACAACGCGCCGAAGTATGAGATATGACGGACTTTTATGAACATTTAGATTTTTATAAAGTTGTAACGGTTTCCCTGAGGCTTCTCTGGCTTTGTTTGCGTACGTGGGCAGGTGGACCAGCTACTAATCCTGGCCCCACATAATGACGCGTGGGTCCCTGACCATTGCACACGATTTCTGGCAGGTCCCGCGCAAAATGTAGGTCGTTCTCGACTTCTTGTATTTTTACTTTTGTTTTGTTATGTTTTAAATAGGAATTCTCTTTTTATTCCACATATTACTTTTCAAATCAAAGGTTTTTTATTTGTTCAAACGATAGACGAGATCTCAAATTTAATTATCATAGCCAGCGGATTACAAATTTATTTGAAAAATAGTTATAATAAACATACTTCAACATTTGATTTATAGAAATTATTGTTTTTTAATAATGACGACATATATTAATTATGTAACACTCTAGAAAAATAAAAATAGGGTGCCCCTCCCTTTCTCAATTTTAATATAGCATTCAACCCGTCCCCGTTATTCCCTTCATACTTATCACTACCCATCCAAATTTCTTGGCATACCCTTTCTTGAAATGAAAAGATACCAATGGTCATGAAGGAAGAATTCTTCAAGACATTTGGTATCTTCTAAAAATATTCCAATAGTCAAATAAACAAAAATAATACGTAATTACATGTTATATTATATTGATTACGTATTTTACTAACTATGCCAAATAATTTGATTTCAAAGTAGACGAATTTTGGCGTTGACTCGTCTTCCTTGACTCGCCGACTGATCATCGCAATCTCCCCATTCATACTCAGTCAAACCCACCTTCCACGCAACCCCGTTTCTTCCATTGCAGCCTGCTCCCTTCCTCCCCTTCTCCTGCCCCACATCGATCATATATCTCTCTCACCAAACCCCCTCTTTTGCTAGTTATACCCCCCACTCCCTCTCCCTCTCCCGATCAATTTCGATGTATATGGACAAACCTGTCCAATCCGTCCTCGCTGCTACCGGCGGCTTCTTCGTCGTAACCCTCATCCTCGCCGCCGTCTACCTCGTCTGCAAGGACTGCAAATCCAAATCCACCCGCTCCCGCCCCGCCCGTCCCCTCTGCAACCCGGCCGCCCTCTCCGCCATCATCGTCGACGAGAGTACCTCCTTCGATCCGTGCCTCAAGTTCTCCATGGAAGAAGTCGTCAAGGCCACCAAGAACTTCTCCGCCCATCTCGTTGTCGGTGACGGCGGCTTCGGCCTTGTCTACAAGGCCCAACTCCCCGACGGCCTCACCGTCGCGATCAAGAAGCTGGATCCCGACGCCTTCCAAGGGTTTCGGGAATTTCAGGCCGAGATGGAAACCCTAGGTAAGCTCCGCCACCCCAACATCGTCAAGATTTTAGGATACTGCGTCTCCGGCGCCGACAGGATATTAATTTATGAGTTTATTTCAAAGGGAAATCTCGACCGTTGGCTTTATGACTCGTGGTCGTCGGACGGCGACGGTTATGAGGACGGGCCGGGGTTGAGATTACCGTTATCTTGGAAAACGAGGATTAAGATCGTTAGGGGAGTGGCGAATGGGTTGGCATATTTGCATGGGCTTGAAAAGCCCATTATTCATAGGGATATTAAGGCCAGCAATGTGTTGTTGGACAAAGATTTTGAGGCCCATATTGCTGATTTTGGGCTGGCCAGAAGTATGGACGCCTCCCGGTCTCACGTGTCGACTCAATTTGCCGGCACGATGGGTTACATGCCCCCGGAATACAAGGAAGGGTTCACGGGGGCAACCGTCAGGGCGGACGTGTTTAGCTTTGGGATCTTAATGTTGGAGGTTGCGACCGGGAGGCGGCCAAATTTGCCGACGGTGCACGACGGGAACCAAATGGGGTTGGTGGAATGGGCTAGGAAAATGGTGGAACAAAATCGGCAAATGGAAATGGTGGATTCAAGCATTTCGAATGAGGATTTGGATGAAGGGGAAGTGAAGGAGTATTTTAGCATTGCTACTACATGTGCTCGTGAGATTTCAAGAGACAGGCCCGCCATGAAAGAAGTCATTGAAATGTTGGACCAAATTTCGACATGAATATTTTCAGTACAGTTTTTGTTGTTTTGAGTAGTGTTTGTTTATTTTACGGGATATTGAATAATGTTGCTTGGAGTGTTCACGAAAGGGCATGTGAATGTGATGTTGAGCCAATTAACCAATGAAATGTCACAAGTAGGAGAATTAGTACTTAAATTGTGTAATTTGTATTTCAATATTATATTTAGACACATAAAACTGACACGACAAATTCTTTAATACAAGTGAGTCTCACATATAATGATTGAAGTGATTTATAATGAAGAATTTTAGTTTTGTGTGTTCAAATAAAATTACTGTTTTTGTTTACAAGTCCTTTTATGAATGGTAATACCAAGATCCCAACTAAAGGATGAGAGGATCCTTTTATAATTATAATAATTATGGTTGTATGGTGGATTACTTTGATGATTAAAGTCTCTCTTCAACTTATTGTCTTATGGATTTAAACTCATTCCCTCCCATTTATTGTAGATTAGTATAAAATATTATTTATAGTAATATTTAAAAACATGGTTGTTGTGCTTTTGGTTGAACTAATAAATTGGTTAAGATTGTTTTTCGATGAGAATTAATTTATGCCGCACAAGAAAGGGAAGAAGAATACTATAAGGTAATGCTAGGAAAACTAAAATTTTAAACTAAATTGTCTAAACCAAATGACGTGAGCAATTAACATCATGATATTACCAACTAAGTGTTGCAAAAAGAAAAGAACTCCCCAACCCTAGAGAACGATTAAAACCGAGCAACGTTAGTCCAATCTATTTCCAATGGGAGTATATACTCGAGATATCAATAAGCGTGAATCTTGTGGAGTTAAGTTGTGTGTTGTTTAATTATTGCTGTAGTTTGAAATAATTCCAGAATCTCAAGCCTCGCTTTAGTTGAGTAGGCCGGAACTTCATATTCGCTACCTTGAGCTGTAGCATGATAAGCTTTATAGGCTTAACATGATGCACTATCAACATCACTGATATTATCTCAATTTAACCATCTATTACTAGATGTTGGGTAGGAATAGGCAACGGTTATGGCAGGACGGGTAACCGCGGTTGTTTACCCATAACTGTTTAAGTCCTTGCCCGCATAACCGTTGGGTAATTGTATAAATGGTTATACCCATATCCATAACCGCGTACCCATTTAACTCTAACCGCATACCTGTTTATCCATTTACCCGTTTTAACCCATTTATCATTTTTACCCATTTACCCTTTTTTTACCTGTCTGCACATTTTTTTTTTTACCCATTTATAGGTACATTTAACATGCACTACCGTGTTTCAATTTTTAAGTTCTCATACTATTCCAATAATTGAAATTATAATTTACGGACAATATTTGCAACTACATGCACATTTTTGCTCGGTCCAATCAATTCTAGTATCTTATTAATTAATGCAAGTTAACCTTTTTTTTTCCTTTTTTCTTTATACAATCCCCTTAAGCTTACAAAACTTATTTGCCCTATTCTGTGAAGGTCAATTGAAGGGAATTTTATATGTGCCCTACAATTTGCACATTATACCTCACAACTTATTGGAATAAGATGGGAATGCCGTGAATTTGTAGGGTATGCTGCAAGTTACTTAAGAAAAGTGAATTAGTAAGAAATCAAATGCTATTGGCCTAGCGTGCAGTCTGGATTGTAAGTAAAGCTCTGATCAAGTCATTTGGCTCCGTTGGAAGCCAGTAACTCTCACAGCATTTCCATTAACAAGAGAACCGGGTTTCGTTTTCCATCTGATCCTCTATGTTTTATCAAATCATGTGACCTTTTGGGATCACACTAAGTATATTTGGATAGAGCTTGATTCCGCGAACGCATAGACGAAAACCATTCATGAATCGGAATTATAATGAGAGAGATTTAAGCAAGCGAAGGCAAGGGTAAAATGACACACCCCGATCCTAGAATCAAGGCGTGCTGGCCGTCACGTGAGTGTGACGTAGCCAAAAAGTGCGACACGGAAGCAAGATATAATAGAAATATGAAGGAATTTAAACCAACCACTAGCAGCATAACCTACTAGCATACAAGAGAGAGTTATAAAGTAAAACACACGAATTCAGAGCGTAGGTGTAAGTGCAGTCAAGTAGGACCATAATTAAAGTACAACACCCGCAGGTGAGTCCTACATGCAGAACGTCTGTCAGAATGCCGAAAAGACCTCGTGAGTCACCAACTGCTAACTAGAACCTGGAGGGGCGCAAAACAAAGATGAGTGGGTCAGTAAAACCAAAGATTTTCCAAAACATTTCATTTAAAACATTTCTAACCCCTCACCGTAAAACCTGTATACTTTCCCAGAAAAATAGTATATAAACATATATATATACATAAATCATCAAAACTCAGCTTACCATCTATCAAAATAACATCTCAGAAAGAATATGCCATGCCATGCCAAAATATAATATGAATGCATCAATATAACTCAGGTGAAATAATAAATCAACCGGAGACCCTGCAGTGGTCCTGTACGACTGATTCTATAGCTCAATATCCCATCCAGCCGGAGTCACCAACTGTGACCTGTACGGCCGTGCCGGAGTCACCAACTGTGACCTGTACGGCACTACATTGCACATAAGTCGGAACTACCTATAGTAGTCTGTACGACTAAGATGGTGAAATAATACATTCTAGTGATTCTCTCATCAATCATCTGTGCACATAATCTAAAGTCACCCACCAGTCGGAACCCCTCTAATGGTCTGTACGACTGGCATGTCGGAACCACCTCTAGTGGTCTGTACGACATCCACCTACTTGGATCCAAGGCGAGCGTACGGTGTGGTGAGTACTATAAGCACTAATACCAAAGGTGCAGTTTATGAACTCACAACGCAATCACATCATCATTCATTCATATAAACCATATAAACTCACCTGATACTCACCTGTGCGTCCACGACACCAATTCACACACATATATATGCATCAATTATCAATTCATAACTCAACAATTACATGCATGGCAATTTAAATCATATTTTCATATAAACGCATTTTCTGGGAAAAACAATAGTATATAGGTAATATGAAAACAAAACTGCCCACTCACTAGTAAGTCAATGGGTCGTAACCCCCGTGACGTCCCTGGATGCGCTCGTCCTCGGGATAGGTGTCACCTATATGCGACACAACTATAAAAACGTTAATTTAAACACATAACCAACAATTCGAAATAACTTCTCATACGATGCTCAATTTGGGTATATGAATATACCACATCGACCTATTCGACGTCACGGACGTCGAGAAATTTTTAGATAAATTTTTGGAGGCCGCACGCGCCCCCACGCGCCGGGACAGGCACGGGGACACGCGCCCCCATGCGCATCATCTCTAACCTCGGCTCGCCAGACTGAACTTTCCTGCGGCCAGTTTCCGGCCAACTTTGAAACTCCTTGTTCTCCTTCGTTTCTCAATCATTTTCTTCGTATTTTATACCAAAATGAAGCCCCAAACATGTAGAATCACGATACACTACCTTTAAGCTCCAAAAACAACTAAATCTCACCGGAAAATTCCAAGCAAAACCGGCCAAAATCGAACCTAGTGATCCCGACGTCCAAAACCTTCAAACGAAGCACTCCGAGCTTCCTTGGGACTTCACTAAGCTCACAATAAGCTTAGAATTCCCTGAAACACAACATTTCACGTGTGCATGAACAGTGACAAAAAATGAGGGGTTCGGGTTCACGTGATATCGAAGGTTCCACGTCCTAAAACTAGCACTAATCAACTCAGAACATCACAAGGATGAAGAATCTTACCTTGTTTGCTTCGATCCACTGAGTTTTGGATGGTTTTGGGTCTCGTCCACTTCGAGAGTGAGAGAGAGAGAGAAAGCCGTGAGGGAGGAGAGAGAGAGTGCTACGGGAAGGGAGAGAGAGCAGGGGGTTTAGATGGTCCAACATCCAATCCTCACCCTCCATCATCTAATTCCCTAACCAAAATTTTATAAAACTAAAATTTAAATCCAAAACTTATATAGAATTAATCCAAATAATGTCACACACACGTACCTTAGCCCCCGCTAAGGGCAAATCCGACATTTCACGTCCTTAATAAGAAAATCTCGGGACGAGCTGTGACATAAAATGTTCATTTGAACCAATAAAAGGTTAAACGGGTACCCGTTTATAATCGCAGGTAATACTCATAACCACCCATTTAAATTTCGCGAGTAAATAGTTATACTCATAACCGTTTATTTGTTTAAATGGATATTCGTAATCGTGAATTTTAAATGGGAGGGTAACTGTGGTTACCCATATCTGGAAATATTTTGCCCATCCCTAATGTTGAGTTTTATCACAAAAACCCTCAGTAATATTTAAAATAAAAACTCTATATATTAATTGTGTATTATTTTAATATATTTCCGATATGCGGTTCTATTCTCCAACGTACCATAAGATAACCACATGTTTTACAACATCATCTTAGGAGTTGGACACAGAAGCCCATCCTCGACAAATCCCACATATCAAGTTTCTCCACTTCTATTGGAAACTAGTAAACAAAAGCCACTCTTTTCTAGCAAAAATCATTTTAATTGCGACTCTCAAATCCCAAAGAAAATATGTATAGGTATTATGTTTTTCCGGTAACAAAAGATAATATCCAACCCCTCAGACAAGTTAGTTAGTCTCGCTATAATCGCTATAAGGTCAATATGGTAGTTCTTTAGCATAGTACTTGAGGTAAGTTGATTGAGTTTGTTAGGTATACTGGAAAATGGTGCATTTTTTTTTTAGTACATCAATATTTTTACACTAGGGGGAATAGAAGTTCGGCTAAGCTACACAATGAGCAGCATAATTTGGTATCAAATTCGCCATCCACGATATTCAAACTTAAGACCTCTCACTTCTAAGCGAATAGAAATACCAGCAGACTGTAGTACTGAGTAGCGGTAAATGGTGCATTAAGATAAGGTGATTTAGGGCCTAGATAGAAGGATGACTTTTTCTCTATTTCATAATTCTTATAAGAGTTTTTATCTCTCATGATATTGCTGGGAGCACAGGGTGCGTTTGGTACGCAGACGGAACGGAACGGAACGGGACGGGACGGAACGGGACAGGATGGGAAGGAACGAAGGTGTAATTTTTGAAAAAGACATGGGGTATATTTGTCTTAAAATGGTAAAACATTGTGTTCCACAAACGTGGAACAAACCCGTTCCAGGGGGGGGAGGTGGAACGCAAAAACACTCAAAATCTGTCCCGTGGAACAGCCCGTT